ATCTTACCCTAACTGCCTCCTCTTTTAGTTTATAAACCTTCACCTCTCTCTTCCCTGATGCTTCTATTCTCCTTGTATCCCATCTACCTTTTACTCTCAGTGTAGCTACAACTAGAAAGTGATCTGATATATCTGTGGCCCCTCTATAAACATGTACATCCTGAAGTCTACTCAACAGTCTTTTATCTACCAATACATAATCCAACAAACTACTGTCATTTCGCCCTACATCATATCGTGTATACTTATTTATCCTCTTTTTTTAAAATATGTATTACCTATAACTAAACCCCTTCTATACAAAGTTCAATCAAAGGGCTCCCATTATCATTTACACCTGGCACCCCAAACTTACCTACCACACCCTCTCTAAAGGTTTCTCCTACTTTAGCATTCAGGTCCCCTACCACAATTACTCTCTCATTTGGTTCAAAGGCTCCTATACATTCACTTAACATCTCCCAAAATCTCTCTCTCTCTGCATTTCTCTCTCTCCAGGTGCATACACGCTTATTATGACCCACTTCTCGCATCCAACCTTTACTTTAATCCACATAATTCTTGAATTTACACATTCATATTCTCTTTTCTCTCTTCCATAACTGATCATTTAACATTACTGCTACCCCTTCCTTTGCTCTAACTCTCTCAGATACTCCAGATTTAATCCCATTTATTTCCCCCCACTGAAACTCTCCTACCCCCTTCAGCTTTGTTTCGCTTAGGGCCAGGACATCCAACTTCTTTTCATTCATAACATCAGCAATCATCTTTTTATTTTTCACCCCGCCCACATCCACGACATTCAAGAAAACCCCTTTTTTATAAAGTTTTTTTTCTTCTTTTTTTAGAAAATGTTACAGGAAAAGGGGTTACTAGCCCTTTTGCCCCCGGGCCCTTTTTTGGGTCGCCTCATACGACACGAAAGGGTTTTAGGGAGGAAAGATTTTTTCCATTTCCCCCAGGGACAATAAAGAAATAAAAAAGAACAAGACCCTATTTGGGAAAAAGGAAAAAAAACCTAGATTATGTATATATATATTTTGCAGGTGCGTGCTGTGAAGGGGGTGCCCAAGGGTGTAGGGGATTTGAAAAGATATCCCTGTTATCTTAGCGTTTTTTTGGAACAGGAAAAAAAAAACCCCGCAATCCTCCCCTCATTTTAAAACGTTACGGGTTTCTTTTTCACAGTCATTGGCAGGCGGTAGTACCCCCCGGGGTTGGTTGCTGTTACCAATTTAACTACCTATAATATATATATATATATTAAATATAAATATATTTTATATATATATATAATAAAATTATATATAAATATTTTAATATATAACACGCACACACACACGCACACACAAAACACACACACACACAACACACACAACACACACCCACACACACCCACACACACACACACCAACACACACACAAAACCCCAAAACACAGCTTTCCTCACTTAGCGACGTGCTCGTTGATAAAAGGACTTATGATGGGCTCTCTGACCATATCATACTTAAAAAATGTATAAAAAGAGTGTTTTCCTCTATTCAAATTTTTAAAAAATATACAGTACCTGCTGTATAAACTTTTAAAAATTTTTCCCGGGAAATGTTTTAGATTTGCAAAGGTGGCTTTTTAAAAACAATATCACAGATGTTTTAAAACAAACCCATACCATTAAAAAAATTTAAAAACATGGGGCAACCCGGGGAATTTCTTTTAGGCTCTTGGCTGATTCTAAAAATAATGCAAAACAAAAATTGTACAACAAAAAATGTGAATTTCTGGAACATAATGCATTACAAAACATGGGGAATCCTGGGGGGGTAAAAAGACATTTGATCTATTGTTTTTTTATGTGAACTACGGTTCTGAGGGGGAAAAAAATTTCATACAAAAAGAAAGTACAGTGGTTAACCCCCGATTTCGACTTTAAATTTATTCCAGAAAAGGCCCGTTTTAGTGTGTTACCAACAAAATTTTTTCCCCTAAGGAATAAAGTAAATTGATTTGTCCGTTTTTAAACCCCCAAAAAAACACTTTTTCCAAAAAGCACTTACAATAACACACTTACGTAATTGTTCGAGTTGGGAGCTGTACAAAACTTGGGGTACCACTGTAATTAACAGAAAAGACACACTTGGTGCACTCAAGTTTTTTACTGTTAAATCTCAGACTTCAAAGGGAATGTGAACACTCCGTGAGAAAAAAATAAATTTTGTTTCACAAATGTACATAGAGTAATAATTGCTACACACAGTTTGGTATTTATTGGACTATATTAATCATTTATACAAAGTATTGACATTTAACCCCAAGTGTGAGATTTACATATGTAGAGTGATCATCTGCTCTGGGTCAGAGTCTGTAGCAACAGTTAACACATGCCGTCACTGAGAAATATTAACCTTAGTGGTAACAACTGAAACTTGGTGTCCTCATCACTTGTTGTGTACATAGCGAATAACAACAGTCAGGTTGTATATCAGACAGGTTGTTAGAGGTAGAAGGTAATAGGTCAGCAAGGTTGTCAGAGTCTGGCTCGCTTGTCTGGTCAGAAGCTGTTGCTGTGGAAATAAAAAAAAAATGGAGAATATCTTCATATTGAGACCAACTAGTCAAGATATGAAAATCAGAGTTGGTAATCAGCTTACTGGCTTCTCCATGTGAAGGACATCTGGAAAGACTGTCTTTCACAAGTCTAATGACACCGTCTTCTGGTGCTCAACCAGCAGCAGCATTATCTGTCTCATTGCAGTGAACCAAGCTTCAAATCAAAACAAACCAGGGTATGGGTGGGGATTGAACTCGTGGCAAGTGAATCATAAAACTCCAGGGAAGCGCCTTAGCCACTGGGCCAGCTGGCTACAGTAAGATTCATCCAACTAGGTATAATTATGCACCATAGAGAGGTCAGTATGTATGTACTGTAACCACAAATGAAAGTTTTTACAGATGAATCTCCCGCCAATGTGGCGGGAGATTCATCACGATGGCTTTGAGGGGACATGAGCTTAAGAAAAGGAAGCTCAATGAATTTTGTTTAATTAAATAAAATTGTATAAAGTACAAAAATGATTACTGGAACTTGAATTAATATCAGAGGTGAGTTGCTCAAAACTCACAAAATTCAGTAAGAAATTTTAAGCAATAAAATTATGGCTCATTGTAAAAACTTTGAAGAATAAACCAGCAATGTAGCAGCAATGATAAAAATTCAGATGTTCTGGAGAAGAAAAATATTTCTAAGAATAAAAACAAAAATCTAAAGATGTTCAAATATGGAATATTAAATCACAGGGAAAATTGGAATAATTATCACTAAAAATAATAAGGAGGAATCTAAAAACATTATAATGCAGCCTCTTCTCACTTAGTGACGGAATCATTAACTGACGACTTGGATTTATGATGAGCTTTCTGACCAGTGTGCATACTAAATAATGTATATTACAGCTGATTTCCTCTATTCTGTTTATTACAGTATTCCTTTCACTACTGCATAAATATTTAAAAAATAGTAAAAATGTTATAAATGGTGCATTGGTGACATTAAAACAATACCACTATCATTATAGTACGCTCCTCACTTAGCGACGAATTCGTTTACTGATGTGGTCTTAGGAGCGGAACTCTGTCATTAAGTGAGGAGAAGGTGTAATGTAAATGGAATTACAGCACTGAAAGTGTAGGAAAGATCACACTAAGTAAAGTATCACTTTATTGGAAACTGTTGCAAACAATGATAACAATTGTAAAATACAAAAAAATTAAATACAGTGGACCCCCGGATTACTTCGTCATCGGATTTCGTAACATTCGGAATGAGTAACATTTTTTTTCTTCAAAATATTGGCTCGGTGATCATCATTCATCCCGAACGCATCTGCACGGCAACAGCGGCTCGACACTCAGTGTACCATTGTTCATCAGCCAGTGAGCACGATCCCATGTGCTCATACGATACATTTTGCATTATTCCATTCTTTTTAGTGCTTGCAACTGCTAAGTAAGCCACCATGGGCCCAAAGAAAGTTCCTAGTGCCAGCCAACCCTTTGGTAAAGGGCTGAGAGAGAGGGGGGATTGTGCCTTTTTCAGTGATTCTGCAGTATGTATGATACTAAAGCTGCAGGAGTCGATAAAGACTATAGCGCCAGCCAGCAATAAAGTGTAGCATTAACAGTGTAGCAAGTAAGTTAGGCAATTAATCAATAGAAAAAGGACAGAACAAAACTGACTCCTCCATTGTTGGAGGTATATAGGGCTACTGAATAACACCACTGCCTTTTGCTGCCACCTTCACCACCACTATGTAAGGCTTATCTTTCAGTGGCCCTTACACACCCAACAACAAACAACACACCACCACTCATGACATTCTTAATGTCATATTTTATTCATTCTAGAGTATATATCATGTTTCTGTGTTATTAATATTGTTTATTATGTCATATTAGATGAATTGTGCTAGATAAATAAGCTGTAGAGCTGATATTAGTGTCATATTGAAGGACTATCTTGTCCTGTCTCCCAACACAATTCCTAACATATGCCAGAAACAGACCTCTCTGGAACACTTTTTTTGAGCGACAGGGGTCCAGCGACTCAAGCTGGTCCTAATGGCATTCAAAAACAAAGGAGGGAAGTAACCCAGGATAAGGACTTGGTACCTGAAGTCTTTATGGAAGGGGATTCCCCTTCCAAACAGTTTATTTATTTATTTAATGTCTTTGCAAACAGTACATTGAGATTGTGTATATACAATAGTGGGATGCAGTACAAAGAGAGCCTCTATTATGCCTAGGCATTATGGGCCAACTTATTATTGGCTTACATTCTACTTAATACTAAGAAATATTATATCATAGTTGTACAGTAGGAAAGTATGTTATTTCATAGTTGTACAGTAGAATATTAATTGTAAATGAATCAAAATTTGTATAATACAAAGATACATGTATTTATATTCTAAAATGCTTTTGTGAAAAACAGTGATTCAATTATATTCTTGTCAACAATGGATAAAAGGTTCAATGTGATTGTTTCAGTTATGATGTGGGAGTACATAGGTGAGTAAATGTATACTGTGTATTTAGCATTTAGTCTTGGGTGATTAAGTGGCTTTTGAGAAGAGTCTTAAATTGATTTTCAGACTGTGTTACTTTAATATGTTCTGGTAATGAGTTGTAAACTCCTCCATCCTCTCCCCCCCTCCCGTCTTCCATACATCACCATGTCTTCAATAAATGTAAGTGTGATGTTATTATTATTTTATTCTTCATGTATCATTGTTTTCTGTGTAGGTAAATGTATATTTCATGAAGAAAACATTTTTTTAATACTTTTGGGCGTCTGAAATGGATTAATTGGATTTACATTATTTCTTATGGGGAAAATTCATTCGGAAATCATCAGATTCGGGTTTAGGCAGTGTTGTAGGTGGTATTATAGGCAGTGTTGTGGGCAGTGTTATAGGTGGTATTGTAGGTAGTATTGTAGGTGGTATTGTAGGTAGTATTGTAGGTGGTATTGTAGGTAGTATTGTAGGCATTGTTGTAGGTGATATTGTAGGTGGTATTGTAGGCATTGTTGTAGGTGATATTGTAGGTGGTATTGTAGGTGGTATTGTAGGTGGTATTGTAGGCAGTATTGTAGGCATTGTTGTAGGTGATATTGTAGGTGGTATTGTAGGTGGTATTGTAGGTGGTATTGTAGGTAGTATTGTAGGCATTGTTGTAGGTGATATTGTAGGTGGTATTGTAGGTGGTATTGTAGGTGGTATTGTAGGCAGTATTGTAGGCTGTGTAGGCAGTATTGTAGGGAGTGTTGTAGGCAGTATTGTAAACAGTGTTGTAGGCAGTGTTGTAGGTGGTATTGTAGGTGGTATTTTATGTAGTATTATAGGCAGTATTGTAGGCACTATTGTAGGCAGTATTGTTTACTTGGAGTTTACCTGGAGAGGGTTTCAGGGGTCAACGCCCTCGCGGCCTAATCTGAGATCAGACCTCAAGGTGGTTCAGGGTCTGATCAACCAGGCTGTTACTGCTGGCCGCACGCAAGCTGACATACGAACCACAGCCTGGTTGGTCAGGTACTGACTTTAGGTGCCTGTCCAGTGCCTTCTTTAAGACAGCCAGGGGTCTATTGGTAATCCCCCTTATGTATACTGGAAGGCAGTTGAACAGTCTTGGGCCCTGGACACTTATTGTGTTGTGTCTCAGTGTACTCGTGGCACCCCTGCTTTTCATCAGGGGAATGTTGCATCTTCTGCCGAGTCTTTTGCTTTCAGAGGGAGTGATTTTCGCGTGCAGGTTTGGTTCCAGGACCTTCCAAGTGTATATTATTATGTATCTCTCTCGCCTGCATTCGAGGGAATACAGATCAAGGACCTTCAACCATTCCCAGTAGTTTAGGTGCCTTATCGTACTTATGTGTGCCATGAAAGTTCTTTGTACACTCTCCAGGTCTGCAGTGTCGCCCGCCTTGAAGAGGGCCGTTAGTGTACAGCAGTATTCCAGCCTAGAGAGCACAGGCGATTTGAAGAGAATCATCATGGGCTTGGCGTCCCTAGTTTTGAAGGTTCTCATTATCCATCCTATCATTTTCCTAGTGGATGAGGTAGATACATTGTTGTGATCTTTGAAGGTGAGATCCTCTGACATTATCACTCCCAGGTCCTTAACATTACTTTTCTGCTCTATTGTATGGTTAGAATTTGTTGTATACCTTGACGCATTTTTAATTTCTTCAAGTTTCCCATATCTAAGTAGTTAAAATTTCTCCTCATTGAACTTCATATTGTTTTGAGTGGCCCACTCGAAGATTTGGTTGATGTCCGCTTGGAGTCTTCCGGAGTCTTCAATGAGGGTCACTGCCGTGGTAATCCGTGTGTCATACACTAAGGAAGACATGGAGCTATGGCTTACATCTCTGTGTCAGAAATGAGGATGAGGAATAGAATGGGAGTGAGTACTGTGCCTTGTGGAACAGAGCTTTTTGCTGTGGCTGCCTGTCAGGAAGTTGTAGAGCCATCTACCAACTTTTCCCGTTATTCCTTTATCACACATTTTGTGTGCTATTACACCATGATCACACTTGTCGAAAGCTTTTGCAAAGTCTGTGTATACTACATCTGTATTTTGTTTATCCTCTGCAGCATCCAGGACCTTGTCATAGTGGTCTAGTTGCTGGGACAGGCAGGATTGACCTGCTCTAAGCCCATGTTGCCATGGGTTGTGTAATTGATGGGTATCTAGGTGTTTGACAATCTTGCTTCTTAGAACCCTCTCAAAGATTTTTATGATATGGGATGTTAGTGCTATGGGTCTGTAGTTCTTTGCAATTGCTTTACTGCCACCTTTGTGGAGTGGGGCTATGTCTGTTGTTTTTAGTGTGTGGGATGACCCCTGTGTCCATGCTCCCTCTCCATAAAATGCTGAAGTCACGCGACAGGGGTTTCTTGCAATTCTTGAAGAACACGGAGTTCCATGAGTCTGGACCTGGGCAGAGTCCATGTTCATGTCATTAATTGCCTCTTCAAAGTCTTGTGGAGTTAGAATAATATCCAAGATTTTTGGGATGACCAAATTTTGAGTTTCGTTCATAAAGGATTCCTTTGGATTGTTGACCCTTAGTCTGGGCAGTGGCTCGCTGAACACTGAGTCATATTGGGACTTTAGTATCTCACTCATTTCTTGGCTATCATCTGTGTATGTCCCATCCTGCCTAAGCAGCGGCCTAATACTGGATGTTGTTTTCCCTTAGATTTGGCATAAGAGAAGAAATATTTTTTTTTTTTGTTTTAATTTCATTTATGGCTTTTAGTTCTTCCTGTGATTCTTATCTCCTGTAAGATTCCTTCAGCTTAAGTTTGATAATTGCAATTTCATTGACTAGTGCCTCTCTTCATATTTCAGATATATTGGCCCCACTCAGCAGCTCTGTGACTCTTCGCCTTCGTCTGTATAGGGAACATCTCTCTCTTCCCAGCTTGTTTCATTTAGGACATGGTTTACTCGATCCCATTGTATGTTTTTGCTATTGAAATTGAATTTCGTGAAGAGACCTTCATGACTGCTCACATTTTGCTGGTCCGGAGCCCTGTGCATGCATGTCTGTACCTCTGTTATGTTGTGATCTGAGTACAGTGGAACCCCGCATAACGCTATTAATCCGTTCCTGAGAGCTCAGTGTTATGCGAAATTATCGTAATGCGAATTAATTTTCCCCATAAGAAATAATGGAAATCAAACTAATCTGTGCAAGACACCCAAAAGTATGAAAAAAAAAACTTTTTACCACATGAAATATTAATTTTAATACACACAAACTTAAGAAAACATGCACAGTTACATGACACTTACCTTTATTGAAGATGTGGTGATGATTGATGGGATGGGAGGAGGGGAGACTGGATGGTTTTAGTGTTTAGAAGGGGAATCCCCTTCCATTAGGACTTGAGGTGTCAAGTCCTTTTCTGGGGTTACTTCCCTTCTTCTTATAATGCCACTAGGACCAGCTTCAGAGTCACTGGACTTCTGTCGCACAACATATCTGTCCATAGTGGCCTGTACCTCTCGTTCCTTTATGACTTTCCTAAAGTGTTTCACAACAGTGTCAGTGTAATAGTCACCAGCACGGCTTGCAATAGCTGTCTGAGGGTGATTTTCATCCATGAAGGTTTGCACTTCAAGCCACTTTGCACAGATTTCCTTAATCTTTGAAGTAGGCAACTTCTTCAATTTCTCTCTGCCCTCCTCCGAAACAATTTCCTCAGGTGTGGCCTCTTGCTGTTGAAGTTGATCTAGCAGCTCATCAGTGGTTAGTTCTTCATTGTCCTCCTCCACCAACTCTTCCACATCCTCCCCACTAACCTCCAACCCCAAGGACTTCCCCAGTGCCACAATTGATTCCTCAACTGGCATAGGATTCTCAGGGTTAGCCTCAAATCCTTCAGAATTCCTTTGATCTACACATTCTGGCCACAGTTTCTTCCAAGCAGAGTTCAAGGTCCTCTTAGTCACTTTCTCCCAAGCCTTACCTATAAGGTTTACACAATTGAGGATATTAAAGTGCTCTCTCCAAAACTCTCTTAGAGTCAATTGAGTTTCTGAGGTCACTACAAAGCACCTTTCAAACAGAGCTTTTGTGTACAGTTTTTTGAAGTTTGCAATAACCTGCTGGTCCATGGGCTGCAGGAGAGGAGTGGTATTAGGAGGCAAAAACTTCACCTTAATGAAGCCATGTCCCCACAAGTCGCTCTGCCAAGTCTGTAGGATGACCAGGGCATTGTCTAACACCAGAGGCACTTAAGGACTAATTTCTTTTCAGTTAGGTAATTTTTCACAGTGGGGCAAATGCTTGGTGTAACCAGTCATAGAAAAAGTCCCTAGTGACCCATGCCTTATGTTTGCCCTCTACAGCACACACAAATTAGCCTTGAGATATTCTTTTGCCTGAATGCTCTGGGAGTTTCAGAGTGATACACTAATAAAGGCTTCACTTTGCAATCACCACTAGCATTGGCACACATGAGAAGAGTAAGCCTGTCTTTCATAGGCTTATGTCCTGCGAGTGCCTTTTCCTCCTGAGTAATGTAGGTCCTGCTTGGCATTTTCTTCCAAAACAGGCCTGTTTCGTCACAATTAAACACTTGTTCAGGTTTCAGCCCTTCACTGTCTATGTACTCCTTGAATTCATGCACATATTTTTCAGCTGCTTTTTGGTCCGAACTGGCAGCCTCACCATGCCTTATCACACTATGTATGCCACTACGCCTCTTAAATCTCTCAAACCAACCTTTGCTGGCCTTAAATTCACTCGCATCACAACTAGTTGCAGGCATTTTTCTAATTAAATCCTTGTGCAACTTCCTAGCCTTTTCACTTATGATCGCTTGAGAGATGCTATCGCCTCTATCTGTTTTTTCGTTTATCCACGCCAATAACAGTCTCTCAACATCTTCTATCACTTGTGATCTCTGTTTCGAAAGCACAGTTAAACCTTTGGCAAGAACAGCTTCCTTGATTGCCGTTCTCTTGACACAATAGAAGCGATGGTTGATTGGGGT